TTTTTAATTACTTTATTTTTTTATTTATTTTAAATTTTAAATTTTAAATTTAAAATATTTAATTTAAAATGTTTGACTTTTAATCAATTTGAAACACTGCTAAACACGGAACACACGTACTAATAATAATTTTTTTTAATTTAATGTCTTCGGAATCACGCGTTAAGTTATCTTTATCTAACTGAGTACAAAATTGGGATTGCGTTTAGTGGTCCAAACACGTATTGCATTTCAAAAGGTAGAATGTTCCGCAAGTGATGATGTCATTGTGGGCCAGGTTATGGCTACGTATCTACCGATTAAAGTTATATAATTTTTTTATAATTTTATTTTTAAAAATTATTGTTATTATATGGATATTAAATATAATAAGCACATGCAAAATTTCAATCATATAAGTATATGTAACATATCGGTTAAACAATTCGATTAAACAAATTAGATAAATAATTTTAAACCCTTATTTTTGTTACTTGAATTGATATTTACGAGTACGTTATTTTTATATCCATTACTTATCTATTTTTTTTACTATTTATGTGTGGTACTTACCCACACAAATAAGGTCTTGCAAGTAATGAATATACCTATACTTAATGCTCATCCTTACTAAATATAATGTTAATTATTGGGTAATAATATGTGAATAACACTACTGAAAAACAAGGTATATTCGACTGAAAGTCTGTCAAATATAGAGAAATATCTATTGATTATGTCTTAATCGACAGCCATAATCGACAGCCAAGTATGTCGTATAAAATAGAGTTGATAATGAATATATTCAACAACCAACTTTTCTGTCGAATATACTAATTTAATCAACAGATATTGGCTGTCGAAGATAAACACAATCGACAGAACTTCGCTGATGATAAAGATTTTTTAATTTTGAAGGTTATATTCGACAACCATTAGCTATCGATTAAAGTTATATAATCGATAACTATTGGCTGTTGAAATTTTTTTTTTTGGAAATTATATTCGACAACCTATTTCTGTCGAATATGT